TTCACATGGAACAACAAAAGACCCCACATAGCCAAAGCAACCCTGAGCAAAAAAAAAAATAAAACCAGAGTCATTACACTACCTGATTTCAAACTATACTACAAAGCTATAAGTAACCAAAACAGCATGGTACTGGCATAAAAACAAACATATGGCCCAATGGAACAGAACAGAGAACCTAGAAATCAATCCACTTACTTACAGACAACTGATCTTCAACAAAGGCACCAAGAACATGGATGGGAGAAAGGACAGCCTCTTCAGTAAATGATACTGGGAAAACTGGATATCCATGTGTAGAAGAACAAAACTAGACCCATACCTCTCACCATATACCAAAATCAATTCAAAACGGATTAAAGACTTAAATATAAGACCTAAAACTATAAAACTTTCAAAAGAAAACATGGGGGAAACATTTCAGCATGTAGGACTGGGCAAAGACTTTATAAATAAAACCTCAAAAGCACAGGCAACAAAAGAAAAAGTAAACAAAAGGGATTATATCAGACTAAACAGCTTCTGCACAGCAAAGGAAACAATTAACAGAATGAAAAGACACCTACTTAAAGGGAGAAAACAATTGCAAACTATACATATGAAACGGGATTAATATCCAGAATACACAAGGAACTCAAATAATTTAAGAGTAAATGGGCAAAGGAGCTGAATAGACATTTCTCAAAAGAAGACATATGAATCGCCAACAGGTATATGAAAAACTGCTCAACATCACTAATCATCATGGAAATGCAAATCAAAACCACATTGAGATATCATCTCACCCCATTTAGACTGGCCATTATCAAAAAGACAGAGAATAACAAATGCCGGTGAGGATGTGGAGAAAGGGGAACTCTTCTACACTGTTGGTGGGACTGTAAATCAGTAAGATGAGAATGGAAATCATGTCAAAGGGATATATATACCCTGTACCCCAACATTTATTGCAGTTCTATTTACAATAGCCAAGATATGGAACCAACCTAAATGTCCATCATCAGATGAATAAGTAAGGAAAATGTGGTATATATACACAGTGGAATACTACTCAGCCATAAGAAAGAATGAAATTCTATTTGCAGCAGCATGGATGAGCTTAGAGAAAAATATATTAAGTGAAATAAGCCAGGCTCAGAAAGAGAAATATTGCATGTCCTCACTCATAAGTAGGAGCTAAAGGAAGGAAGGAAGGAAGGAAGAAGTGGGGAGGAAGGAAGAAAGAAAAAGAAAAAGACCAATCACAATAATAAGTTGAATTTTCAGAAAGAGAGAACAGAACTGTAGCCATAAAGGTGGGAAAAGGGGAGGAGGGTTAGCGAGAAACTGGTTAATGGACACAGGGAATGATTAAGTTTTGGAATGATGTATATGCTAATTACCCTGATTTGTTCCTCCCACATTATACACAGGTATTGATTTTCAACTCCGTATGCCACAAATATGTATAATCAATTATGTTTCAATTAAAAAGAAGAAATAAAAGAGGCTCTGAAGAGTCCTTGGTAGTCAAATGCAGTTAAGGGAGAAGAGGAGGGTGTCAAATGATTCCCCAGTTTCTTGCCAGAACAACTTGGGATGGTAGTAATGCCATTTGATGAGCTAGCAAATATTGAAAGAAAAAAAGGAGACACTCTGAGTTTCCAGGTTGTCTTCGAGATATCCGGGTGTGTACGCTGAGGAGGCAGCTAGAGATCTGCTAAATATTCTGGAGAAAGATTACATTTTCTCTCCCATAAGATATCTAAGTAAATTTCAAATGGATTAATGATTTAATACACAAAATTAACTCACACGTGATTAGAATAATTATATGAGAATATTTATAAATTCTTGATATATAGTATCTTACTAACATGAAACAACAAAAAAAGAAACCAAAAGAAAATAGCAAAATTTAATTGTATAAAATTAAAATATGATCTGTGGAAAACAAAACACTTTATACATATTTAAAAAGCAAATGGCTTTGGAAAATATTCATAATGTATGGCAGACAAAATGTAATATACTTAATAAAAAGGGCTATTTCAAAAGAAGAATAAAGATTAGTATGAATAGTCTGTAGAAAGCCAGAAAATGGATATAAACAGTGCGTTCATAAAAAAGAAATGCAAATAACCAGAAACATATTTTAAAAGTTTTCAAGTTCACTATGAATCCAAGACCTAGAAATTAAAGCAACAGTTAAATGGTATCTCTGACCACCATAATGACAATTCTCAGCATTTGTGTCACGATGAGGGAATAAGTGCTCCTGTGCACATTTGGTAGGAGCCAATGTTGGTACAATGTGGTTTTTTTTTTTCCTGGAGTGTGGAATATACCAATATTTATAAAGGAAATATATGTCACAGGGCCTATTTCTTGTAGTTTCAGGTTGAGCCCAACTTCTTAAAAGTACATATAAAATGTTAACCTTGCAAAAGACAGGAAATTTTTCCCCAGGCTAGTCTCTGTTGTACGATAAAGAATTGTAGCACAGCAAGGGTGCTGGCTCAGAAGACAGACAGGTTACTGATTGATATGTAAAGATACTGGGAAATTGCTGTAAGGAAAGAGAATGTTTGCTAAGATCAAGCTTTTGTTGGTGGATTGAATTAACCTCTTGCAAATTGCATTATGAAATGTCATCTGGCTTGTTTTACTGAGTGTTACCAGCCTATAGTGTTAAACTATAACCCCACCTATGTTCTCTTCCCATAACTTCCTGGTCTGGAGAATAAATGTGGGAAGAGAACCCCAATTCATGGTTAATTGCCCAAATGGAAGGAATGCCTCTCTCTTGAGGGTTCCAGGAGATTAACCCCTTTGGGGCTTCTCGCTGCTCAGAAGAGATGGGCTTTGAGTAATCCTTTCGGGCTCCATCACCCAGGGGAAGTGGGGTGACAAATCTGTGGGAGGCAAAGCAACACTGGAGAGTAATATGGAAATACGTATGTATTCTTCTGGACCTTGGGATTCTATTTCTGGGAAATTGTGCCCCCAAAATAATGAGTACTGTACATACAAGAATATCCTTTCCTTGCAATTTTGCTTATGATAGGGAAAAGTTCTCAACCTGTGGAAAGACTTTAAAAATCATGATACTTAATATAATGGACTACAGGGAAATCAGCAAAAAGTAAAACAGAAGCATATTTCTTGATGTGGAAACACATTTATGATATACATTTTTAAGTAAAAAGTAGGTTGCAAAATAGTATGAAGAGTATGATTCCTTTTATGTTCAAATATATATGAATACACACTAAACACTATATACTATACACACAGACCTTCAGGAACCTCCCTGGATATCAAAATGTATCAAAAAGTTAATAATAGTTATCTCCTAGTACTACAGTTTTAAGTGGTGGATTTTTCTCCTGTAGCCCTCTACTTACTAATTTTTCTCTCATGCTTTTAATTACTTGTGGGCTGAAAATGTCTGGGGAAAAAAACCTAGGATGCCTCCCCAATACTATTTTTGCCTCCACTGATGAGTATAAATGTCTATGTGTGTTTATAAACCATTCAGCAAAACGAAGCCATCTGCAGATCAATTTCTGGAGTAAGCCCACTACTTAGTCCCAGAAAAACCCAAAAGGAAAGAGAGAGCACACGACACAGATAAATAAAAGGAAGATGAGATGTTGCTTCTCCCACATGTGGGCTATTGGCACCTTCTCCAGGACCCCAAAAATAAGGCTCTCCAGGATGGATTAGGGACCTTGGCTTTGTGAAGTTCTCCAGGGCTTGGCCACAGCTGCTTAGCAGAGGAAAGGTGGACACGGCAAGGTGCTTTCCAGCTTATGATAACAAGTGTTATTCTGTGGCATAAGTGCCACCTACTGCTATGAGCACCATACATGTCAGCCTCTCCCACCTTGCAAGCCACTGTAACCCTTAGGCTTTTGTTGACAGAGCAAATCTCTAGAAACATAGACTTTGTCCTACTCTCAAAATTTCAGGACTCCCAGGTTCTGCTAGAAAAGCAAAGGACAAATGAAGCATTTTTTACTCCAGTGGTTCAGAGTTCCTTTTGAGAATCCAGTGAAAATTTCAGAGCCTCCCCTCAGCACATACACAAACATAAAACATTTCACACCTATTTACTGAGAATCACAACCCCCCTGAAGCTGATGAGGGGCTCACTTACAGGACGGACCCCGAGCTAGGCTGGACCCCACAATCTAGAAGTGACTCCTCCCACTCAGTGTTCAGTGGTCACCAAGCCTCCAGCTAAACTCAGCCCCTGCCCTCCCAGCCTCGGTCCCCATCCCCCTCTTCTCATGCTGTTCATTCCTGTAGTGTTCCTACCTTCACTAACGGCCCCAGAACCTGGGGTGTCCTCCCCTTGCTTCCCACACCCCCCAATTTTCTTCAGTTTTCAAAATCTTGCCACTTTTATGCCTTTTAATAAAAATAAATGTGGTAGCTGAATACAGTTTCTGCAGAAGACACTTTCAATCTTTCCTTTTGCCTTCTGACTTTCATTAACACTCAACCTCTTTCAGGTGTTTATGTAGTGGCTCATTTCTCATGGTCCAAAGCTACAGCTCTAGAAAAGTATAGCAATGACAGTCTCTTGGCAAGTCTAAGCACCAAATGCTGCTTTCAGAAGAGCCTCATTTAATGACAACATTGTTAATTGTTTTAAAATAGATCTTCATCCCAGCAACGTCTTGTTACATTTTGCAATGGTGTTCATATTTTCCAGTAATTCATGCATGGAGGATCTGGGGGTTTTTTGTTTGTTTGTTTGTTTTTTGTCTTTTTTCATGACCGGTAAGGGGATCGCAACCCTTGGCTTGGTGTCACCCGTACCACGCTCAGCCAGTGAGCCCACTGGCCATCCCTATACAGGATCCAAACCCACGGCGGGAGCATCACTGTGCTCCCAAGCACTGCACTCTCCCGAGTGCGCCACGCGGCCGGCCCGGCTCTGGGGTTTTTTAACACCTGCAATCCCAGGGATTTTGTGGTAAATTTGAAAATTCAGTTCATGGGTCACTTGCCTATAAACCCTGGTGCACAGACACAGGTGCCATTCAGGCCTTCACTGTCACAGGTGCCTCCGTTCAGACAGCTGATGTTAGCACAGGGATCCTTGTACAACTCACAGTGTATTCCTGCAGGGAAACAGACAAAAACGGGGTCACTCATCAAGGAATCTCCAGCTCCAACGGCCTGTGAAAGCAAAGAATTTGAACAGCATGGGATGGCAGAGAGACAGATTCCTGGCCTGTTTGTGCAAGAGTGTGTATACGTGCCCATTCTTGACTTTAGATTGTTGTAAAAACATGCCTTATGAGAAAATAACAAATCGAATCCCTGCCCATAGGTCCTTTCATCTGTACTTTCTCTGACTACATGCCCCAAAGCCTGGGGAAGAGAAAGTTAAAAACCTGAAAGATAAAATTTATCAATGACATGCACTCTCTAAGTCTCCAGAAGAAACAGAAAATAGCTAGACACCCTTAATAAAATATTGATAAAATTGATAACAGCATCCTGAAGGTGACGATTTAGAGTCAGATATTTATATAAGTCCCAGCTCTACTTTGGAGATCTGCAGGACATGTGTACATACCACATTCCAGATCCTTGCTCTGTGCTTTATGTTTAATTTATTCCTCACAACAACACTATGAGACACATACCCTTATTCCCCCACTTTACAGATGAGAAAACCAAGGAAAGAATCCAAGATCACCAGGCTGGTAAAGGAAGGACGTGTAATTTGAACCTGCCAATAATCCAAATCCAGATTCTGTGCTTGCTAAACAGTTTGCCAAGAGTGAGCTCAGATTAGCCATGGAAATATACAAAATTCTACGGAGTTCAGCATCCATTTAGCAAAAAACAGGCATTTTTTTTAAATCTGTAAAGGAAAAACAGAAAGTTTCCCATTTGTGTATTTAAAAAGTATATGAGCGCATGTATGTATGCAAATGCCTGAAGTGGGACTGGACTACTTCTACAAGAACAGGTTACTTTGACTTTTACACCTGTGTACTTCCACATTGCTGCTGGCTTTTTTTTTACAATGACTATATAATATTTAATCATTTTATTAAAAACTTTAAAAGTCCAATGCTATTTGAAAGGCGCAGTATCTGCTGGTGTTACACCGGAGTGCCGAGAGGAATGGGTTAGTCTCCCTCCCTCCCCCCACACCCCTCCATACGCAGAAGAAGATAAACTACATTCTTGCTGAATATGAATGTACATAATGATATGCCCACCCTTTCCAACAGCCTCAAGAAAAATAAGCATAAGGCAAACAGGAACTGAATGGTATTTACTTAATTCGTGCTGGACTTCATTACTTAGCTCATATCGTGCAAGGGACAGCCACACCCAGTGACTCATCCTCTAGGCATGGAAATTATCCTTGTTGGGCTTTTCTCTCCTTTTTCTTTCAGCACCTTAGGAAGGAGGGCTCAAGAAGGAGTAAAAGAAGAGAAAATAGAAACAGAACGTCCTATCTGTATTAACGACTTATTGGAACCAGCTAAGGCATTTTAGAATGGATGGCCTTTAATTCCTTTGAATCCTTTACTCCTTACATCTAAGCCATCAACAATATTCTGTTGAATATCTTTCTCAAATGCCTTTCAGACCCTCCCTTTCTTTTCCTCCTGAGACCACCACTGTGATCCCCACACCCTGTGGGATACAGCCCCTCACACCCACGTCCTAATTCCCTCCATCTCCAGAGACTTGATAGAACCTCCCTGACTTCTGTCATCATTAATAAACCCAAGATGCATGGTAATATACAAGATCAAACTAATTTAAAGACTAGCATGTATCTGGCAGCTCTTCATTTGGATATGTATGGCCTCTTCTCCCACAAGTCTCTATTTCTATTTTCCCACTGATTCCCAAGTAGCATGTACTGATTGAAAAACATTAAATGCAGAAGAGCTTTTCCTACTTTGAAATGTTTATTGCAAAGCAAAGATTCACTGATTTACAATTTCCCCTGGGGCAGATCAATGGGAACCAGGTGACAAAAAAGGCTTTCAGGTGTGATGGAAAATATAGCTACCACCAAGGTTCAGAGATATCTGAAGCCTAAAAAGCATTTCCATTAAACCTAAAGTAAGAGCAATTAGATGATCATCACTGGGTGTCTAGTAACACACTAGCCAGTCTCGCCTGTGTAATATAATTAATACATTAGCACACAAATGACCCCATTTTCCAAACAAGGCTGAAAAGCAAATTCTATACTAAATTTTGAGCATCTTAATTTTAAATAAAATAGATTTGATGAAAACACCCAAGATAATAAGCAACTCTGGCCTTTTGGGTGTTTGGGTTTCTTTTTCCTTTTTAGCAATAATTGCCATCCCTTGTTATATCTCTTTTCCAAAAGATGAGACATTCGGTCACTTACGCATCCAACCGAGAGTTTTCTGGCAGCAAGATTGAGCAAAGGCTAATCTTCACAGAAACATGATTACTGTGAAGCAAGATGGTCTTAAATGTCCCCTGTGAGCACCATGCTTATTCACATTTCTATACTCTAAGCCTTGCTAATCCCTACATAAAAAATATTTGTCATATTGCTCAGCTTGTCGTTACAGCTGAACAACTATGAACTAGAAACTTTAAATACAGAGAACAGACAGCCGTGAGCACTACTGATGTGCAGAAAGTGCCTCCCCTTCAAACCTTCCTCCAGAGGCCCCAGGCCCCACCTTCCTGCTGCCCTCTTCACTGTTCCAGGGGTCCCAGGCACTCACCCAATGCTCAGTCTTGGGCGTCCCATTTCATCTGACAGGTATGCCTTCCTCCACTCCCTTCCCCAACCAGGTCTTCACCCGGCACATTGTAACTCATCTGTCAAGTCTCAGCTCAAGCACCCTTTGTCTGGAAAGCTTAACCTCAACTCTCCCAAGACAGATCAGATTCTTTTGCCATTGTATGCTGAGAGCATGCTGAGATTCCTATTGTCACAGAGTTCACTGTGCCACATCATAACTTATCTGTTCTCCTGTCTGATTATTCCCCCACAAATCTCGAAGGCCCTATAGAGGCTGAGGCTGTACCTTAATGCGTGGGAGAAATTATGGATTTAACAACAGAATCTTGCCCTTGCAGGAGGGGCGATGGCCAGTGTACTTTGGCTGACACACAGGTGAGATTGCCAGAGAAGGGAGAAGCCATTCCAAATCCAAATCTGCCTCAAAAACACCCTATTTTGTCAGGGAAAAACCAGGTCCACACTTCAAATTAGGTCTGTGGAATGACACATACATCACCCATTGGCAAAGGATGTAACACACACTATTACGAAAACTTTGTTTAGTCTCAAGCAAAAATAAACTGTAGCTCAGTCAAAACTAATAAAAATTCATACTTTTCATATTAAGGGATGGAGAAGCAATGTATCTGAAAAGATTTCTAGTCCAACCAGGCTCTTTACAGAAGTTAATTTTAGAATTAAAATGAGCGAGAATTCAAAGAGCAGCTCACCAAATTATAGATCTTTGTTGTCATCACAAATTTAGTCACGATTCATATTTGAAAACTGAAAATCATTGTTTTGTCTCCAGGAAAAGTAAGCCAGGTAAAAGAAAATTAACTGAAGTGCTCTTTGTACTTAATGTTTGCTTTAAGGCACCATCTTATTTTGTTCAAACTTACTTCCTTGATGAAAACTTTTCCTGCATTTCAATGTTCACAGAGCTCAACATTTGCTAAACCATTTCAGAAATGAAAACTGACATCTCCACCTTCGCCTCATTATTCCTCGTGTCACCGGTCTCAGTCTGCTCTTCTGGTAAAATAATAGCCTGAAGGAAGGAACCCTGACTTGCTCAGTTTTGTACCTATCACAGGACTTGAGAAGGGCTCAAAATACCCAGAAATTCTGTTCACTGGCTAAGTAGAATCTAGCAAAGAAAATAATTTTATCCAACAAAGAAAGAGATCTCACTCTTCCAGTTATACATTTCTGTAGCTTTTAAAAATAAACAAATATGCATGATGTGATCAAACCTATGACCCAGTGGTCTCATTGCTGAGCATCTATCCCCCCAAAATAATCCATAAAGTGTGAAAATTATATAAATAAAGATGTTCATTCCAGCATTATTTACAATAGCCCCACATCAGATACAACAACAAGGGAATGAATAAAACTATTCTCTGATGGGCACATTACAGAGCCATTTAAAATAAAACTAGTAAGACTTCCTTGCAATATATAAATCAAACATAATATCATGTTAAATGTGAGCAGAACAATACAAAATTGTAGGTATACTCAATAATAACTGTAAAAACATGGATATTAAAAAAAAGAATGGAAACAATACAAATTATTATTGCTCCTATGTTATGTTATAAAACCATGAGTAATTTAGAATTTTTTTTCTAAATTTTTATTATTGTTGTTATGTTATTTTTGTAATGAAAAATTGAAGTCTTTCTAACTTTTCTATCACCAAAAATTTCAAGTGGGTATATTATTGACCATTTAGTTTGTTGTACTAGAAATAAAAATCAATACGATATGGGGCTATACCTTGACTTTTTGACAATATGAGGTTATGAACGCTAAACACAAGTCTTGTAAGTCCCATCATGAACTAGCTTTGAACTTGATTTGAAGGAAGTATCAGCATTTGGTATGTCTGAAGAGAAGTTACTCTGAGTCCCACCATGTATTTTGCTCTTTAACAATTTCTTGGTCCACATTGGAAACCTACATCCTAGGAAAATGTTCAAGTTGGTTTTCTTTATTTAATTACTGTGTTAAACAGTAGTTTTAATTCAAGCAAAGACAGTTATTGAGCATTCATTTTGTGCAAGCCACCATATTAAAAGCCACAGAGAATTTAAAAAAAAAAATGAAAGAAAGAACGTCTACAGTCACTGCCTTTCAGGAGACTATGATTTGGCGTAGGGGAGAGGAAAGTCTGCAGCCACAAAGCACTGAATACAGGGCTGAAGATAATACTGGGAGAGTCCAAGGACTGAGGAATCACGTCTGTCTGGGGATCGACATTTGAGAAGTGGATACAGACACAGACATGGACACAGGGGTGCGTGCAGGCAACAGAAGGAAACAGAGGGGCCGAGCATGGAGCTCTGGGGCCTGACAGCGTCCACG